ACGACGGTGGAAGGCTACTGCTATAAGGTAAAATATTCAGATAATTGCCTTTAATTAAAATTCTCGTAATCGAATTACACATTTTATTTGTCTGTTATCAGAGAATCTTAATATATAATTCATTTATTAAAATTAAAGTCCTTCTCACCACCCTCAACCTCAACCGACATATCTTCCACCCCCACAACCGCGTAAAACGAAGATTCCATTACCACAAACTCCAAAACCTACACCTTCGCCTACAACTACAACTCCAGCCTACGATAATTCATTTGTAGGTCTAACTGGTGGACAAATTTTCCATGAAATGATGTTGCGTCATGGGGTGAAAAAAGTATTCGGATATCCTGGAGGCGCAATTCTTCCGGTGTTTGATGCTATCTATAATTCAACACACTTTGATTTCATTTTGCCAAGACACGAGCAAGGTGCCGGCCATATGGCTGAAGGCTACGCGAGAGCCAGTGGTAAACCTGGTATTGTACTTGTTACTTCTGGGCCCGGCGCAACAAATGCCATAACACCCATGCAAGACGCTCTATCAGATGGTACACCTCTAATTGTGTTTTGTGGTCAAGTACCTACTTCTTCTATTGGAACTGATGCGTTTCAAGAAGCTGATGTTGTTGGTATCAGTCGTGCATGTACAAAGGTATTATATATATATATATATTTGTATACGTGATTTTTTATTTTTTTAAAAATTATCGTAAACCTAATTTCACACCTTCTATCCTATTTAATTAGTGGAATGTAATGGTAAAAGATGTTGCAGATCTTCCGCGTCGTATAACTGAGGCTTTCGAGATCGCCACTACTGGTCGTCCGGGTCCAGTACTTGTAGACCTTCCCAAGGATGTGACTGCTTCAATACTTAAAAAACCTATTCCAACTCAATATACACTTCCGTTTCGTGCATTCAGTGATGCTCCTGCCTTGGCATCTTCTGTAACAAATAGTCATGTTATTCGTCATGCTGCTGAATTAATTAACAATGCTAAACGACCAATTATATATGCGGGTCAAGGTGTTCTTGCGACATCAGAAGGACCAGCGCGCATGAGAGAATTGGCCGCTCGTGGTAACATTCCGGTGACGACTACTTTACAAGGTCTTGGCGGATTTGATGAATTGGATCCTCTCAGTTTACATATGTTAGGTATGCATGGTTCAGCCTACGCTAATTTGGCAATGCAAAACGCAGACGTTATTATTGGTCTAGGTTCGAGATTTGATGATCGTGTGACTGGTCATCTGGATCGTATGTATATTCAATACTAGATATATGTTACTGTTTTTTTTATTAATTAAATAAGAAAAATTAATTTGTAATAAAATAAATAGATTTTGCACCAGAAGCTAAACAAGCAGCAAAGGAGGGTAGAGG